TAGTTTATAAAATCATGAGCAGCTTGGATAGGGTGAATAGACCTAGAGAGGGGAGTCCAAAACTAGAGGGCATGGGTTTAAGGTGAGAGGGGCAATTCTTTTACACAGAGGGTGGTGCGTGTATAGAATAAGCTGCCAGAGGAAGTGGTGAGGCTGGTACAATTACAATATTTAAAAGGCATCTGGATGGGTATGTGATGAGGAAGGGTTCAGAGGGATATGGGCCAAATGACAGCAAATGGGACTAGATTAATTTAGGATATATGGTTGGCATGGACGAGTTAGACCAAAGGGCTTGCTTCCAAACTGTACACCTCAATGATTCTTAACACATTGGTGTAAATGTACACGATGTTCCAAAGCCACTCTTCATAACGATACTTGAATTTATAGAACGGAGAGTAACCAATCATTTAGTTTGAACCAGTCTTGTTTTCGAGTAGGCTGCTCAAAGTGTTATAAAATATAGGACAAACACAGGGCAAGTTTTTAAAATTGCTTATCTTCAACTATAATTATCATGAGGTGGCAATAGAGATTATTCAGATTTGTCAATCAATTTTCATTAGCAACAGAGAAAAGTTACAGCCACAGTTTCACAGCCTCTGTTTGTCCCATACTGAATGGGCCAAAAGCTAAAACTCCCTTAGATTATTGAGTCTAAATAGGAATTAGTGTTGGTGAAATTTTGCGTCAATGCATAGTAGGAATTGGAGAGAGTTTATTATGAAGATGTGGAGGAATAAACAAGCATCAACCAGAGGGCTGGGTGGAAAGCAATGAATGATATTGAGGAGGGCTAATGATGCACTATGAGGAAGTAGCAGGCAGGTAGAGATAGAAAGCAGAAGACAGAATTGCAAAGGGGGCATAAGCTTAATGGGCTGAATTTTGAAACACCGAGTTGGTTGGCATTGGATGTAATTTAAAAACCAGGATCCGGGTAGGTGCTCTAGATCCCAACAAAGAATGAATTTTAATTTTCAGTGAAGCTGGGGTAGGAACCAGGGAGGCCAGACATCTCCAATTAACAGCCCATTCAGCTCCTTTAGGATCTTGTTAACAGACCGGGGATGTTGGTGCTGAAAAATTCAAAAGGATTTCAGTAAACTCAAACAATCTGACGCATATTAATACACAGGTGCTGAGTTCAAAGTAAGGCATAGGGACAGTTTTTATGTTGTTAGAAAAATGATTGTATCCATGGGGATCTTGCTTCTAATAGTGCGTACTAACTCTAATTTGGTTATGTAGGCACTTTCCCAAGCGTTTATGCAGCTGACCTTCCAAGATGCTGCCGTCTGCCTTTGCCTTTGGTGCACTGTACTTCCACCTTCTGGAGACCCCTGGCACCATTTATTGGTGACCGGGTCAGTCTTACTGCCCAATCAGTGAATTTACATTTAAAAATCAGATTGTACGAGTAATGCAGTTGAGGCACAAAGTCAGGACCTGGAGTTTACATAGGCTTCAGACTCTCAGCCCCTCCCATCTCAATATATAAGAAACAAAAATAATACTGGGCTTGAACAAAATCAATGTGAAAGTTTAAAATTATAAATCACCAATACTGAAGAAGCTGAAAATATCACCAAAAATAGATCCTGTATAAAGATCAAACACAATGATCATGTGAGGCGTCTTGATGAGGAATATGGGCTTGAAAGGGAATTAGTCAAGGACCCGAGATACAGCTCACCAGAAGGAAAGCAAACCACAGACAGGCCTTGCTGCAGTCTGTCTAGGGGGGCCAGTTAGCTGGACGGCTGATTTGTAATGAAAAGTGATGCCAACAGTGCACGTTCATATACTTTCAAAGATAGTAGGAACTGCAGATGCTGGAGAATCTGAGATAACAAGGTGTAGAGCTGGATGAACACAGCAGGCCAAGCAGC